TTGGATTATTTTGGACAGGAAATATTCAAGGCAAACACATCACAAATGGCACAGCACAATGGGACAGTTAGGGTATTAAGTTCAGACAATGAAATTATGCTTCTTGGTATACGTGAGAAGACTAGCAAGTACAGTGATGAGAAATTAACCTTTCCATGAAGGCGGGCTCATCGGACCCTAGCAAATATCCAAATACACATCGACTCATATCTAGTCGTCATCCTCCTCCTCAACAGCGCGGGGAGCAAGGACATAACGGGTAGTTCCGTGCTTGTCAGTTCCGTGCTCAAGAGACAGCTTGCTGAGAGCAGCAATCATGTTCTCAATGGCAGGGTTCTTGCGGCTACGGTCCTTGCGGCCGAGAGTGTCGAGCCACTCAATGCGGTTAAGCATGTAGTAGACAATGGCGATGATAATCGTAACACCAATAGAGTAAGCCCAGATGACGACAACGGTGACGATGTCGACCCATCCGTCATCACGGAAGCGGGAGTTGATAGTAGGGGGGTTGGTCTCGTAAGGAGCACCGGACATCCAGCCGAAGAGAGTGAAGATGGTAGCGAGAGCATCGACACCCAAGATGGCAATAACCAGCTGGAACGAGGGGAAAGTCTTGCCGCCACGAGTGACGAAGATAAGCCAGTTCTCAGTAAGGGCAACCTCGAGGAACAGAATGGGCTGGATAGCACCAAAGTTCTGGATGATACCTCCGCTGGGGATGAAGAGGGTACCACGGACGACCCAGGTGGCGAGAGCGAGGAGGAGACCGAGGATGACGGAGATGAACCAGATCTTGGGCAGCTGCCACTCGACGGGGCGTTGCTCAGAGTGGGCGTTGTCGTAAGCGACGGCGACAGTAGCCAAATCAGCGAAGAGGGCAAGGAAGACAATGAGTTCAGCGCGGATAGTCTCGTTGAGGATGATCATGGAGGTGACGAGGTAGACTTCCAAGTGGAGACAGAGAGCAATACGGTACTGAATGTAGGCCTTCATACGCTGGAAAATCTGGCGGGCAGTCTTGATGGCAAGAACAATGGTGGACAGACCAGGGGCAAGGAAGACGATATCGGCGGCAGCCTGAGCAGCTTCGGTGGAACCCTCGACGGCGATACCACAGTCAGACTTCTTAAGGGAAGGAGCATCGTTGACACCGTCACCAGTCATGGCAGTCAAGTGACCACGCTGCTGGAGCATTTCGACGACCTGGTACTTGTGCTCGGGGAAAACCTCAGCGAAACCATCGGCACGCTCGACAAGGTCGTGCTGGGTGGTACCAGTAAGACCGCCGTTGATGAGCTTGGAAGAGTTGTAAACCTTGGTACCAAGAGCAAGCATCTTGCAGGTCTCCTTGGCAATGGCAATAGCGTCACCAGTCAACATCTTGACGGGAACACCGAGCTGCTGAGCCTCAACGATGGTCTGGGCGGTATCCTCACGAGGGGGGTCGAACATGGACATGAGACCGAGAAGGATCCAGTCACCGTCGTTCTTCTGGTAAGCGACACCGAGAGAGCGGAAACCACGGCGAGCGAACTCGGCGGCCTTCTCCTTGTAGAGGGTAGCGGTGATCTCATCGCAGTTGGCGAGGTTGACAATGGCCTTGGGGGCACCCTTGGCGCAGACGTACTTGTCACCACCCATGTGGCAGACGGCAGTGATACGCTTGGAGACGGGGTCGAAGGGAGTGAACTTCTCGGTGCGCCATCCCATGTTGAGGATCTCACGAGCCTTGGGGTAGCGGCGGATGGTAAGAATGGTGACCTTGTCAATGGGGTCGAGAGACTTGAGGTTGTGGGAAGAGGCAAGAGCAGCGACGGCCATCATCCAGTTGACATCCTGACCCTCAGCGACGTAGGGCTCACGGAGCGAAAGCTGGTTAGCAGTGAGAGTACCGGTCTTGTCAGAGCAGAGAACATCGACACCAGCAAGCGACTCGATGGCAGTGAGCTTCTGAACGATAGCCTTCTGCTCAGCAAGGTAGGCAGCACCGACGGCGAGAGTGGTGGTGGTGACGACGGGAAGACCGACGGGGACACCAACGATGAACATGATGAGGGCGTAGTGGAGGAGAGTGACGGACTTGTCGGTTCCCTCGCGGGCAGTGGCAATAGGAATGTGACGGAAGAAACCACCAATCCAGGCGAGCAGGATGAAGAACATGACGAGGACGAGAAGCGCCGTTCCGATGGAGTTCATGATAGCCTTGAAGTGACCCTGGTCCTGAGCGCCCTGAACGAGGGTAGCGGTGCGACCGACGAAAGAGTGCTTAGCAGTGGTGATGACGATACCGTAGGCCTTGCCGCGCTTGCAACCAGTGGTGTAGTAGGCAACCTCTCCCATGTACTTGTCGACAGCGAGAGACTCTCCGGTGATGGACGATTGATCGCAGGCAACGAGAGGGTGGCCCTGGGTGATGGGGTTCTCCTCGTCGAACTTCTCCTCGTCGACATCATCGTCCTTCTCGTCTTCGGGATCAGCGTCGTGGAACTTGTCTTCAGCCTTGAGCTTCATGTACAATTCGAAGTCTTCAGGGTGGTCGTAGCTGCAGATAAGACGGGCATCACCAGGGACGGTCTGACCCTCCTCAACGACAACGATGTCACCGGGGACGAGTTCACGGGCGAGGATGGTTTGTTGCTGGTTGTCACGAACGACAGTGGCCTTCATGGCAATGTCACCCTTGAGCGATGCGACGACATCGGCAGCCTGCTTCTCCTGGTACCAACCGACAATGGCGTTGAGCAACAGGATACCGCAAATGACACCGAAATCAATCCAGTCCTGAAGACCAGCGGCGAGAAGAGCAGCGAGCTCCATGACTGGCTAGGCGTTAGCAGTTGCGCTAAAACAAAGTTTGCGCAAGGATGGGGCGGGTACTTACCGTAGAGAATAGGACCGGTGAAGTAACCAATGAACTGCTTGAGAAGGTTGGTCTTCTCGCTGGTGATTTCGTTGAAGCCATAGCGCTTGCGGCGCTCCTCGACCTCGTGCGAGGACAGACCAGTGCGAAGCTCAGTGTTGAGGACTGCGAGGCAATGTTAGCAAGAATGTCTTTTTTTGCGCATGTTTTGCAGGGCGCGGCTGGGGAGGACAGTAGCGGATAGTTTGGTGGAGTCGACGTGCATGGATTCTCCACTGCGCTTTGCCGCCACGGGCTGAGCTAGCAGGGCAGGAAGCTCGAGCTTGAGCTTGGACCATGCCGCAACGCCAGCGACCACATTGCGGCCTCTGCTGCTCAACGACAACAAAAGGCGAATGGGTATTGCCAAGTAGTCGTAATAGGCAGGTGGCAGGCGAGTGGTGTGTGCGCGCGTGTAGGTGTGGAGGATGCGCGATTGCGGTCGCGAGGCGGGCGTGGGGAAGTAGGGGGAAGGGAAGGGGATGGATAGCAGAGCGATGGAAGGAAGACTTACAATCATCAGGAACAGCGCCAGCGTCGGCGACGGGGGCAGCGGTGGTAGCACCGGACTTCCAGAACTGCCACCACTTCTTGACCTTGACGGTGGGCGTGGCGTGGGGGTTGACCTTTGCGTCACGGTAGAAGAGGATGTACTTCTGGAGCGCTGTGTATTCGTCCATGCCATCGAATTCGGTCATGGAGACGATGGACTTCTGGCGCTCAGCGCCAGAGCTGGCCCGCGGGCGCTCAACATCGTCGTTGGGCGCCATGTCGGAGTCGAATTAGGGATTGGGTGTTGCTCGTATGTATTATTATATCCGGTAACTCTGGGCACAGAGAAGGCTTTCCGGGCGACTTGACTTGGATGAGGTTGAGGTCAGGTCGAAAGTGCTGGGCAAAGGGGAACCGCAAGCAGGGCCTTCTCTGTGAAGAAGTGTTCAGAGGGCGGGCGCGGCTCTGGTTAAGTAGCGTGCGAGAAGCTCACCCACGTATCAACCAGGGAAAAACTCAGCAAGGACCGACCTTTGGCCGCTATGAGGGATTTATGATTGTCATAAAACTAGCCATGGTTGGGGAATAGCTCGACCCGACCAGCCCGGGGGCATTTTTGCAGCACCCCGGGTCCGTGCACCGCACGCTACATCATCGGCGCGCCGCAAACAGCAGAGATTGGCCGTTTTGGCGGTGCAGCAGTGACCGGCCGAGGGCGGGTGGCCGTCGCGCGCTGCTGACAAGCGATTATCCGACTGCTTTTGCCTCGTCGTCATGGGCGGGCGGCGGCTGCTGCGAGTGGGTGCAGGGCAGGTGAGTGATGGTGAAGGAATCGGCATGAGTGAGGGAGTGAGTGAGAGACAGGGCAGATTACCATTACTACTGCTGCAATCATCCCACTCCCTTCAGCATGACTGCATCATTTGTGTGTGACTTTTTTTTCCTTCTCTAACCTTTTGCCGGTCTGTTCCGCCCCGGGAGAAGGAAAGGAAGGAAGCAATTGGCAAAGCACCTTGACGGTGTTGCTGCTTGCTGCTAAGAACTGCTTGCTACTACCACTATCGCTCCTGCCCTCTTGCTCTCCTGCTCCTGCTGCCACTACTCCCCTCCACTCTCCACCTCCACCACCAATACTTGCTACAAGCCACTAACTACTCTGCCCAAAACCATCCGCCCAGCCACCCTCAATTGCCCTGCTACTATTGCCTGCCCGTGTATCGTCTGTTGCTCCCTAACCCGGCATCGCTCGTCTCGTTTCCTCCAACGCGTCTCCGTCGCCGGCTGCTGAGATTAAGCTGGAGATAGCGCGACATTCCGCGACAAGCGTGCAGGCGCGGCAGGGATGCGCCCCCATGACGTTTGGCCAACTGCAACCCACGCCCGGCCAGCATCGAGTAGCACCACAGCACCACCTCGTCGACTCGCCGCCACTGACTGGCACTCGCAGCGAGCACCAAGCTTCGTCTCGCTCTGTAAACAATGCTTGTCGCCTTGGCTCGCCCCTCGACTCCGCTCAATCCTGCGAGGCATTTTTTCTTTGGCCCTTGGCTGTGGTCCCCCGAGCCCTCCCCACGCCTGCGCGACTTTTGGCTGCATTCACAATTTTCTTCTAGCGGCCTTCCAGCCCCACGCACCACCAAGCACCATGGAGCCTCAATATCCGACTTCCCCCCTCCCTCTCCATGATCCAGCACGCCCCACGGCCTGCTTCGGGCATCGGCCCTGTCTCAACGAGCCCTACCGCTGCTGAGACGGCCAGCCATGTCGGCCGAATCACACCTACTGTCACGCCGTCGCCCGGCCAACCCTGACCACCCCCGGTCGTGACCGTTAGCAGTTGTGTTATCATGGCCAGACGACTAATACCACCAACCGCACTTACTTGCTCGCTCGCTCCACTACACGCCCAGCGTGTGCCGTGGAGAAATTGAAACACGGTTCCGTCGCACAGGCCTTGGCTGCAAAAAAGAGCCTGGCCTGGCCGTTCTCGTTGTGTCGTGCCAATGCCAATCCTAATGCCTGCGACGGCCTGGGGAGCCTGCGAGTCTGCCCCGGTTTCCATCCAGACCGTGGATGGCCTTCCCAACACGGCAGCCGCCACGGCCACGGCTACTGCCACGCACGTGACACGCCTTCCTCCTGCTACTGCCACCCTCACTGCCGATGCTTCGCCGGCACGCGAGCGAGCCTCACCGCCGTGCGGGAATAATCGCTCTAACCCACATGTGTACGAGTGCGAACACGTACTGCATACCATCCTCCGCCTGCCATCCCATCACTCATCGTTTTTACCGACGCCAACCCTCGCCCTCGACTGGCTCTCTGAATCGCTCCCACCGCGCGCCCCACCCACCGGTGTCGGTCCGCGCTCGTCGCACGCACCCTTACGCCGTGTGCTATCTCGTCTATTGTATTGTTTGTACATGCTATTGCTACAAGGTTTCTCGAGTATTGTCCTTTGCCCATCTGTCACCATCCATGTGCTATAACGGCCACGACCCTCTGTGCTTCGTCCTGAGACAGACGGCCCCATCGCTTGCGCTGATCACCACCGTCAACGTCTTTTCGCGATGCCTTCGTACCTGCAGCATGGGCGTTGCGGCACCCACACGCCAAGCCAATTGTTGTACGCCGCGTTTCAAACACCGACACATGTTCGGGAAACTTTCACCACTCTCCATCTTAGTTAGCTCTCCAGCCTCGTGACACGCTTCCGGTGAGGCACTCCCGACCTTCACGGCTGATCTACCTGAGGCTCATGTGCGGCTGCCATTGTTTCGTTCCCAGCCTCCGAACTCTGTCCCTGCTCCCAACTAAACAATGGCTTTTTTTTTCCAAACCATGTCTGCCGCGCCAACTGCTCACGGCACGCGAACCCTTGCATCCGACGCATGCAGGGACGGTGGGCTCCACCAACCCGCCTCACTCGTGTCTTTTTGCGGCCTGGTCGCGATTGCATACACCGGACGTCTACTCAACCAAATGCACTCTTGTCATGTTCAATGACAAATTCAACACTGTCCACCTGCGTTGAACATATGTATACCAAGGCCCCCACCAATCAATTCCAACTTGATCTGTGAGGAGCATTGATATCGGAGCATGTGCAATTACTCACGCGTAGTCATACATACCAGGAAACCCTGCTATCACCACCTGGGTGTGGTAGAAAACTTTGCATAACCATAGTGCGACATGCCCTCAACCACATTGCTCCTGTCCCGTCAACGTATAGCCACTCAAATCATCTATCATGGTCGCACCTGTAAGTGACTGCTCTGATACCTGCCAAGCAGCAGATCAATTGTTTGTATCAGTGCCGGATCTGGTAGATCGCCCTTGGCGCTGGCTCTCCCATTCTCCGCACAATCCAACAACACCGTCCGCTGTGCTCGTCGCATCTCCGCCCGGGCACTATGCTCCGCGTCCGGCTTACCATCATCCGTTACTATCGTCAAATACATTCCTACTCTGTCCAAAGTGTGCCCAGCTTGTCCAAGCCGCTGACACTTTAGTGCGGCATTTTCAGAGGTTGCACCATATTGTTCTTGGCAACCATCGCGGGTTCATCCGAACCCTCAACTCCCCAGATTTTGACCTGTCATCGACCCCCACATGTACATCCGATCTTGCCATGATGACTGCCTTTTTGCCATATATCCGTCCGCCTTTTGACCATGCAATCTAATCACGCAACCACTTGCATCTCGACCCCGCTTCCGACGGCATTCTTCCATTTCTCCATGCTTTTACCGATTAGATAGTCCTCGGCATTGCATCCGGACACTGAAAGTAGCAAGGGAAAAAAAACTTTTTAGCCAAGGAATCTGGAGAGACACACGTGCACCCTTCTCCGCGTACACGGTCACCACTCAATCGTCGTCCCTCCGCTGCCAAGTATGGCTCTGTGCGGACAGGCGCCTGGGCGGAGCAACCATGTGCCACCACAGTCTCCCATTACACTCGTCTGTGCAACCTCTTGGCTCGTAGTTGTTTTCTTTTTGCAACACTTGGCCTAGTGTTCAACATGAAAAGATATCATTTGCCATTACTTTTGCACTCCTTTTAATTCTCCTTTTATCTTCGTATAAACAAAACTGGCCTCTCTTGGCTTTATTGGTTTTTTTTCTCTCACTCCAAGTCCCGTGTGTGGCGCATAGTAAGCTGTATTTCTTCGGCTAGCACATTGCTCATCGTAATTTCATTCTCAACTCTGTTCGGTGATCCCCTTTTTTTTGTTTGTTTTGCATTCTCGCTGGCGAGTAAAACCAGTAAAGGGAAAAAAGGGGTTTCCACGCGTGATAGGGTTCTCCCGTGCAGACAACAAGGTTGACGTAATTTTAGTGTAACGCTCTAGGACCATATCTCGTATGGTAGGTTTACACCTTCTGTATCATCTCCGAAAGCCCCACGTACCATGACTTGGAATTTCGTTTGGGATTGTCGTGAGCCGTCTTTGTACATGATTGGAATTGGAGCATAATATTGTGTAGATGAAGGTTGTTGTGGTGGGTGAAGAGAGTTTAGAATATGGGTGACATTCGTTGTATGCTTGATGGCATGTATCAACATTACAATTTGACATCTCAAGAATAATAAAATACCCTTTCAGGAATTGCATATTCTATCATGTAACAATGTTTGAAAAGTAATGTGGATTTTACGAGTGACAAAATTATTTTACCTATTATGCGCCAAAGAAAAAAATACGTACTCCTATTATAAATAAAAATTGAAAAATAGCAAACTTCACTTCACTAAACTATTGCCCTATACGATATCTAGATACCCACATCATAGCATTTATGATACACTTTTAGGATATGAAGTGACCATTAATTCACCGTACCGCTGCTCTCATTGTTGTTTCCCTCTGCCGATAGGCCTGCATCACTCCTGATTAAAACAACGATTTGCATTTAGTACCTAATAAAACACCACGTGCACATCTATCCTACCCAATTTCTCACTAAACCAATGCATCTGTGGTCAAGGAAATGGAAACCAAAAAATCTGCCATCATGAGAGGTGTCATATAGCACAACGAAAAGAAATCTATCAGTACCGGTTTCACAAGTAATCAAATATCAACGAATACTTATGAATAGCTATTCCATACCCACTCCTATTTTTTTCATAATCAACTCTCCATACTACTATCCATCTTCTCCTCATATTTTTTTACATTTCACACTCTCACAAGCATAAGTCTGGGGCGATGTTGATACTTTTGCACCGCAATCATCCTCAGATATTTGAAATATCTAGAATAAAGAGAAGAGGAGAAGAACACCAAAAAAATGCTACATACATCTATACTCTTATAAGAAGGAAAAAACCCTCTCGATTTCCCCGTTAATCTACCTAGATGAAAATAAAATAAAATAGAGAAGTAGATATATCAATTACGCTTAAAAGGTATTTCAATAGAGAATTGTAGACATGGATATTAGTGGAGATGCAGCAAAGGTTGTTAGATGGGACAATAAATTCATACACAATAGAAATGTCGAGTGATGATTTAAATATAAAACAGCAATCGAATATAAAAACATAAACTTTTACATCTTTGTCCCCGTTCGACAAAAAAAAATCGACACTCTGCCATGGTTTTGGTCTATTCTCTCGCAACATACCTGACACGTTTTTATTTAATATATAGTAAAAAAAATAACCTCTCGAATCTTCGCCCCCAGTTGACATGGCAGTAGAAAAATAAACAAAAGGAAAACATGGTTCACTTAGAACGGGACTGTTAATGATCACATCTCCAGTATTCAAACTGTTTCTCAAGCCGATGAGATAGTGTGACGGTACAGGTACCGTTTATTCCACTACTCTTCAATCTCATCTACATTTCCATCTCACGTCTCATTTAGCACTCCATATCATACCCACATACCATTTGTCCCACCCCACTCCCATCACCCATCTACAACTCATCCTTCTCCCTCGCCTCCTCCCCACTCAAATCCGGCATCGCCATAATCTTCACCACCAAGCTCGTCCACCCCGTAAAGTGCTGCGTCCGCTGCCCCTTACCAGTCTCAGGATTATACTGCTCCCACGCGAATCCCGTCTCCTTCCAACTCTCATACACCGTCTTGACCAGGTTCTTGCGGAGCTCCGTGTAAATCTTCGTGGCGCGCGCACGGTAGGGTCCGGGAGATTGTGCGAGTTTCTGTTGAGAAGAAAAATCAGGTTAGTAAAAAAAGGGAACAAGATGGGAGATTTCCTTTGACAGGAAGACTTACAAGAAGTTGGGTCACAGCTAGGTAGTTGATTGGCATCCAAACTGGTCCTCTCCAGTAATCTTCTGCGGTGTGGTAGAACTCGTCGCTCTTGCTCAAACTACGGATGCCATATGGACTCCAGAGCTCTTCCTCGTCCTCAATCAGGTCGAGGATTGCACCGAGCTTCTTGCTGTCCTTGTCTATCAAGCCCGTTATAAAAGGAAATAGGGAAATGTATCCCTTGTGGCAAACCAGGGCGTTCTCTTCATAGTCATCAATGGTGGCGTCGCAGTATGTTTGGTCTTTTTCGGACCAGTGCAGGTCGTCAATGTTTCGGGTAATGGCTTCGTCGTAGCGAGCAAACTCTGCTGCGTCATCTTCTTCGTTAAGGTAGATTGCGATGCGCTTGATGGCACGGGTCATCATACCCATCCAACTGATGAGGTCGACATGTAGCTCGCCAGGGTGTGGTGGCTGAACGCGGGGGTAGTCGTCAAGGCCAGAGGTAAGGATGTGCGTGGGGGTACGTCCACGCCAGCGGTAGCCCTCTTTCGAAGAGAAGGCTTGACGTTCATAACTCTTGATATCACCGGCCTGCGTCTTGCGGTACCAGAAGTAGTTGCGTTTCAGCAGTGGATAGAGAGTGCGGAGGTATTCGAGTGCTGCCTCGCGGTTTGACAATTGCATCGAGTAAGACTTTTCTTGACGAAGCTTTTCGCTACTAGTGTCCGTCTTTATCGCATCGAGCTGATCGAGGAAAGAAGTGATGACCATGAACAGCGTCGGGGGGTTCGCGTAGTGAGGATACTGAACCTGGAACTCTTCAGGCACCTTGCTGCGGGCTTCCGGACCGAGAATCTGCTCACGGGCGATCCAGCCATCGTCATCCATGAGCTTGAACCAACTTTTGATAATGTCAAGGGTAAGGTCAGCATCCCAGTCAATGACAGGCAACAGATGGAAACCTTCATCCCAAAGGAAGCCACGTGGAAAGAATGGCCGAGATGGAATTGCAGTGAACAGCTCCGAAGGCCCCTCGAGCTCAGCCACGTTCCTGCTTCGCGCCTCGGCAGCCTCCTCCCAAAACCCTTCACTGTCCTCTTCGTAAGCAGGGTCGTAGGAGCGGTCGACACGAGAGTCTCCAAAGAAGTAGCCGATACCGCCGATCAGGTTCGAGAATAGCGACTTTGAAAACTCCTCGTAACGCTCTTTGAGGAAAGGAGCTTGTGGTTCGAAGATTTTGGTGAAGCGAGATGAGAAGCTTGAAGTGACCGAGTCAATCTGCTGGGTAATGTCTTGCGAGGTAACCTTTTCAGGAGCAGACCCCGATGAGAAGATGACATCAAACTCGAATGGCCCCTCAAAGACCTTTTGAACAATATGCATATTTCCTTGGCCAGGCAAATGCTGGATGGTGTAAACCTGGGCAGGTGGTGGGGGATTTTGCTCGTCGTACTTTGGGATCAAGACGTCGATCTGACCCTTCATGTGTGCGAACAAAATGGCCTTGACCTGCCATAGTGCCTCATCAGGTATTTGTCCGCTATGAACCAGTGTCCTGTCCAAAGGCTTATCGTCCCAGCTCGGATGACCAGTGACGGGGTGCTCGCCTTTGCCTTCCGTGACCCTGACTTCAAAGTCACCAAGCTCAGTCGTCTGCCCTTTCAAGACAACATCCCCTTTAACACCCGGCTCTTCCGTGTCAGCATCTGCGACTTCCAGGCTACCCAGACCTTCGAGCGTGTTGTACCAGATGACCGTCGTACGAAGATTCGGGCTGGCGTCTTCTCGGGGTGTTCCCTTGATTCTCGCGCCCCAGCTGCCGCCGTGTTCTCCACCTGGGAACTTGATAAACTCGGTGGTGATGTCGATTTTGTTCGCAGGATCGTGGATTGTTTGTCGGCCGCCGCTACGCACATCATACTCGTCCCAGCCGTAGCCATCGAGCTCGTGCTGCTCACAGGTGTGCCGGAAATCTATCGAATCAGCAATTGGTCTTGTTGGTGCTAACCATGTGAAGGTGACTAGATGCTTCCCGTCTTGCTCGCATCCATTCAGACAATTACCAGTGGTACTTACTATTCTGCACACTTTGATAGTCCTCCACTCGGGTCCACATTAACCCGCCCATTAAGCTCTTAGGAATGCGTGGCCTGACGCCAAAGTACAAGTTTGGACGATAGGGTCCCCAGAGCAAGCTGGCGTTTGTAGCCTTCTCTACCTCTGCCAGCTGTGCGCCCACAAGGGGCAATTGGAGTGCAAAAAGACATGTCAGCCCCTTCCAGAGGGTGCCATGTCTGCTGTCGCGCGTCATTGTGATGTGTGAAGCTGGAGCTCCGGACCTTGAAGCTTGCGGGGTTTGGGACACATCTCGCTCAGACAGCCACGGCCGCGGCCGCAATCGCTCCTGATTGGATGGCTGCAAGTACTCCCTCTCCACATATTGTGCGAAGCATATGCACTTCCCCGGACTTGACGACGCAATTGTAAACTAAGCACAAATTTCAGCCGAACAAATCCTGTCTAACATTCGCGCCTGTTCAAGCCCTGTATCCTATCTCCTGGCACGCTTCACGGAGTAAGCAGAGCGATTCATCTAGTCATCGGTAAGAGTAGTTGATTTAGCATTCTAAGAGCAGCATTTGCCTGAAAAGACGAATGCAATTACACTTTGCCAACCTGCTTACAGTAACAAGTTTTGTGTTGACACATGTTCCTTCTGTTCCGGTCAGACTCAAAGAGAACCAAATATGATAAAATATCAAGGCGTCATACCGTGAGCTGGTCCTTCCCCAAATGCATGCAATCCAACGGCTTGTCGTGGCATTTCATGGCCATATCCCCCATGAGCATGCTTTTGCCTTGCGCTGAGTAACCCCAAAAGACGACTACGACTGCATGCTTCAAGCTCAAGTCTTCAAAAGTATCGTCGTGATCCTAGCAATTGATGTGAGACCTTGCAGCACATCTTCACCCATCTCATTATGACCTGCTCGGCGACAGCGGCCTGTTGAATCCACCCTGGCGGTTCATGTACTGTCTGGCCTGGAGCTGCTTGTCCTTTCTGACCCCATAGTTCTTGTCATTCCCTGGCACTTTGGTGTTCTTAGTGCTCTTGAATCCGCCAAAGCCCATGACCTTTAGCATTTCCCATTCGTCGTCGTCCATGTCTTCTGGTTTCTGCCTCTCATCCTTCATCTCGACATCTGGTGTCTCTTCCTTGACGATGTCGGTCGAGGAGCGAGGACCAGTTGGAGGCTTTGCAGAGCCGCCAAATGGACCGCGAGCACTACCGCGAGGTCCTTTCGGTGGTGAGCGGTCGCGGAAGCTGGGGCGGTCGTCCCTGCCTCCTCCCCTCCTGTCGTCGCGCCCTCGTCCGCGATCATGACCAGCTCCAGGTCTGGCTCGGTCACCACCCCTCCCAGCTCCATCGCGCTCATCTTTCCGGTATGGCGATCGTGAACGATATCGGGTGTCGCGTCGGCTGCCGCGGTCTCTAGGACTGCGCGAGCGGTTGCGCCGTTCTGTGGGTGTGCCGCCTCGCTCACGGCCTTCACGTGGTTCGCGACGGCTGTCTCGCTCGCGGAAGCGGTCGCGCGATCGCTCGTTATCTGACATTGCTATGTTGTAGGGAGCTGTGCGTGAGGTTGGGAAGCGACTGTCGCGAAGAGCAGATCAAACCGTTGGCTGGGTTCGGTTGCCAAGACCGTCGCCATTCAGCCCTACCAAGTTGGGCGATACATGTCATAGTACACCATTGTAGTTTTTGGAAATAGAAGTCGAAATATTAAAAAACAATCTTATTACAACTATGGAATATATGTTAAGAGACTCGTAACCCAAGATAGTTGCAAAGCCATACCATAGCGCTAACCCGTGATCACATGACATATTCACTGAGCAAAAAAAGAATCTTCAAAAACATACGACAGCGGGGATTCGCCAGTGGTCACCCACCTGACTACTAATCCGCCGGTATTCTGTTTAACTAGGGAAGATCGAACGGGTTTCCGTGCTGCCGAGAAATCCTATGGTCGTATGTACTATAAAAATCAGGATTGGTGTAACATATTATCGAGCAGATGGAAATATTGGGAACATGGGCTAAGTAGGTCTGGTAGTTCGAGGGTGCTCACGTGATGCTATCGATATCCTTAACTTAGCTTGGCAATGCTGCACGAACAGGACTTGATCTCTCTACCCCCTTTCGCACGCCGCACACAGAGAGTAAACACTTAGTGGCATCTCTCTTCAATATAGCTGCGAAACAAAGACTCTGCACCTGCCCCTTTACATACATAGCACTACGCGCCAACAAACTCGTCCATGTTACTCACACATTCTCTAGCTTCCTAAGATACTACCCCCTCTACACGGCGTACGAAAGGGTGTACAGATGGCATTCAGTGAGCACCCTCGAACAACCAGATCTAGCCCATGTCCCCAATATTTTCATTTGCTTGATAATATGGTACACCGATCCTAATTTTTATGCCTGTTACAAAAGTAGTTGCCTAGTTCTACAACAGCTGTCCCATGGAGCGTGCTGCGGGATGTGAGGTGTTTGTTGGTACACTCTCATACAACCATGTTTTGATTTGTAGTAATAGTATCCGCCTCGAATAGTCGACGAAACAGCTTTCCAACAACCCTGCCCAAGCCATGATAGTCTACTCAGTGTTAATGCTCCTAGGCGACTACACATTAACCATGGACTGTAAGCGAGACTGAGATCGCGTGACCCATAGCCCTCTGCTTCGTGCCTTCCCCGTTCCCTAATCATCGAAAAAGCCAATCACACATCATCCACATTGCCCCTCCAGCCTTATCTCCATGGACATCTTTGCAACCCATCCACAAGGCTACTCTGCAAAACCGCCTTAGGCTTTTCGTATATCATCCATTTCCCAACATGCCCGAATTCAGCGACACCCCACCAGCTGCACATCAAATTTCCCTGCTCCTGCACACAGCGGTCGACTTCGGCCTCAATTCAGGCGTCGGTATTGGTATTATTCAAAGCACGGCGCCAGGTGTGGGCCTGCCCTTCACTCTACCAACGGAGTAGCAAGCACATGGTATCGAGCATGGCCAGGCCAGAGCTAAGAACCTCATAACGTCCGAAAGAGTTCACATATTCGCACTTATACTTGCCATGGGGCTAGCGCGCAGTAAAATCAGGCGAAAATGCACTGCCACACGCATCAAGGTGCAGAGTATCATGGTGCTCTGCAGTTTGCCAGCGGTGGTTGAACTGATTAAACATCACCAAGCTCACGGTCCTAATAGTCTCGAATCAGTGGTCAGCAAGGAGGACCGCTCGATGATCAGAAGAGTCCTGGCGACTGTAAGGCGACTGTCGAGATACGATGTTCAAGTCTCAATCGTAGAAAATGGGGCAGAAGGCGACATTGGGAAAGCAACGAGAGCAAAGATGATAGCCAGCCACAGGAAGAAGAGGCTGCTTCGTCGCCGTCGTCACGAACGACGAATCATGTCAAAAAAATGCCGAGATGGCGGATGATGAGGAAGAAGATGGAGGAAGCGACAAGGAAGGGGATGGAGTCGACGATGGGAAGAAAGGATAGACAACAGCTCATATTCGGAACATATAATAGCAAGAGAATCGTCAGGTGTATTTATGAGAGACGAGATAAGTGAGCCTGAATTGCACTGAGCTCGAATAAACACTCCTAATTTCATAGCTCCAGCTGCAAAGTAACTGATACGAAGCGAACAGAACTAGGCAGCCCGATCTCTAGACCTCCAAAACCTCCAAACCTCGTCATGTATACTCGTGCATCCAATAAGGACAGATTCGGACCTTGTACAAGGCGTAGAGACCATGCAGAATGCACAAAGATGCCCACGTAGCGATTGTAAGACAAAAAGAGAATACGGACCGAGCGAGAGATAGAACGAAATAAGGAGAATAGGACGAGGGCCTGTCGGTAGAATAATCGTTCGGATCGGGCAATGGCGAGCAACTGCCGGTGCAGACGCGCGGTGTGGAAGCTGAAAAGATCCGTGAGACGCGCGAAAGTTTCCTTTCGTCAGCAAATTCCTGGTGAGTGCGGGAAGAGGAAGGCTGAGCCAAGAACCCTGATTAGTCCAACTCCGGTCCCCTTTAGTTGCTGAGGAGTCGAACCTCCGCGAAGTGGCACCTTCCCAAATCGCTGGCCCGGCTGCTCCCCTTTGGTTCAAGATACACGCGCTAGGCGGTAGGACTGGTCTCACCTGCTCAAGCCCAGAAGGTATGCTGTCACGAAAGAGCACTCTGTTAGTGTAATCGAACGCCTAGCCAGACGGTGGTATGAGCATCAAAGAGGGAGGCATGGAAGAGATGGGATTGGCGTGCATGCCGATATAGAGAGACAGCGAACAACAGTGATGTACGTCGATGCTACCGAGTGTCGGGCGGTATGGTGGCAGTATTAGATAGAAGGGGGGTAGCGAAGAGATCAAGGTGACCAAGAAGGAAAATACCATGGCTTATGAGCTGAAAAGAAAGGTTAAATGCACCGAATGAATGCAGATATTCGTGGATCGTGGTGTGAAGAAGAGGTGGATGATTGTGAGCAGCAGGTATACTTTATGCAGAGCACAACAGTAGGACCACCAATGCGGAAAAGGGCTAGAGGCTCAGCCTGATCAGTAACGATGGCTGTCGTAGAAAGCAATGTTCAAATTCAGTAAGAAGAGAAGAGATCAACACCTCAAAACCAGGAAGGGAGTCAATGAATCAATGAGGAGGTGTAGAGAGCTACTGCGTATCAAATTCAAACAAGCGGTTACTACTAAAAAGCAGAAACATATCAGCAGATAGTAATATTTTGCACTTTTCGTGTACAAAATCCCATCTTCGATGAACAAACGATTGTCTATAGCCAGGTGGTATCACCATTCTATTCCATAACGCCATACCATGCAGGGTATCTAAGATGCTCTCGTGAAACGCATGACCCGGGGCACTCAAAATAGTTCAAGACCAAGTTGCTCAAATTTCATCCTCTTCCTCATCAAAGTCATCCTCAGAGCCCATGTCGTATAGAATACGGCCACCCTCACCACCCTCACCCTTTTGAGCATCAAAGTAAGGAAGGACGATGCCTTCGCGCGCCTGCTTCTGCTTGTCGGTAAGGCCGAGATTGAACGTCGATTCCATCTCATTGTCAGCGGTATTTGCAAACGCTTTCGTGTCCTGGCTCGCGTATGCAGGAAGCTGATCGAGTAGAATGACGAATTCTTGCTTGATTGTACCGAAAGGCGAACCACCAACGGGAGCTTGATAATCCGAGCGACGGCCAGGTCGGAGAAAATAAGTCTCGCCCTCAGAACGGCCAGATTTGCGTCGAAATTCGGCCTCAAGGACGATGCCACGGCGATCGTTGGCGTCGAGACATTGGACGATGCCTTCGGCTTCCTGAAGCAGACCGTGGGTAGGCTCAGGCAGACTGCGCTCTCTAGCTGCCTTGGCAGCGAGACAGTGAGCTAGAGATTTGCAGGTAATGACGGAAGTCGCCATATATGTGACCAGATCGAGTGCCTGGGGGGCATACGGAGTCTCCGGTCGCACGTTATGGCCAGGTAGCATATCTTGATGATAGACACCGACAAGGGTGGACGCGAACTCTCCAGCGACCATATGGAAGAGCCTGCCCATATCGATGCCTTTCCCATTGAGCGCATCATATAGTGAGTCGATGATGACGAGGCTCTCTTTTGTACTACTCAGGGCCTTGCGCAGTCCATGCATGATCTCCTCTCCGGTGGCGCCAAACCCGGGGACGGTGCGGATAGCTGACATGAAATGTGATGATTCAAAAGCAACGACAACAACATTGACATTCCGAGATAGTGCGCGTCGCATCATCTCGGTTAGAAAAGGATGTGCCCGCTGGTTGAGGTCATCGAGGACGAGTGTAAAGGGTGAGGTATTGGCGCGGACATTGAGAACCCTAGACATGAGGTGGACTGAGTGGCGCTGGTATTGCGCGAGAGATGCAGGTCGACTCATTCTGGAGTTTGGAGCACCTGACACAAAGTTTGGGATTTCTTCGGCAGACTGGATGAAGCCCTATACAAAATTTGTGTTGCTGGCAAGTTTGCCAGGGTGGTCAGGGAACTAGCTGGACGCTGTACTATTTTTGTCAGATAGCTGTCAGAACAACCTGTATCCCTCTGGATAACTGTAGTCTGATCAATGTCAGCTGGAAAGATGGAATCCATTGACTCGAAGCATTCTTGTAGTGTGTGAATTGATAATTTGACCCGACAAAAAACAATTTAATGCCATGTGAAATGGCAAGGGGCTGGGGGGTGTATCGGGGCCGTACAGACTTTCGGGGAAATGCCGAGTACTGTGGGATGATAGGAAGCCCAGGGAGACTCAAGAAAAAAAAGCGTACCTGCAGTGAATGGGGAAGGCAGCCGGATGTGCGGAATCAATTTAGCAATTTAAGTTTGCCAAGGCCGATTAGTAAAGTCAGGCTCTATACAACTGAGGGACGTTGAATCGCAACTGTTGAAATTCGCTGGATGGTTTGTTGATTTCTGAAGCAGCATTGTAGAATCATGACAAACGGTCGCAATAGTGGGGTTGTGCAGTGAATAGTCCAAGTCATTTTCGTGCGCGCTAGTGCCTTTTGAAACTAGCACCGGCCTTTTATGGAGTTAGGCACTTGCAATGCCGTCCCCACTTTCCCACGCGAAACGTATTGCTCAGACGTCCGGGGTACAAATGGACATTGCAGCCGACTAGCGACATGAAGTGTTCCTCAGTGGTGATCCCGATATGACAAGCAACGCGCCATCCTCATCGTCAAAGCCTCCACGGCCCAAGTCACCACACTTTCCTCCACACAACGCTCCACGCGTATGGTTCATCACGAGAGGAGTATCGCCAATAGCTATCGCATTAGCGAGACAAGTACTCGAGCATGGTGACTATGTCGTGGCCGGCGTGATGCCTGTTGAGTTTGAGAAAAGAGAGGGACAAGTAGACGATTTTCGGACGTTCTTGCAAGATGTGAAACAAACAGACAGATGGCGTGAGCATCTGAGGGTTGTGGCATTGGACAGTAGGTATGTATTCGAAAATCGCGTCAAGACTGTTATTGCGCTGATTGCATCGCGTATAAAGGGTCGTTGGTCAATGCCAGGCAGCGGTTGCCGAGGCTGTGGAAGCATTTGGGCGGATTGACGTTCTACTATGCGCCGCGAGCGAAGGTAAGCCCTCTTTGCGTCAAAGGAAAACTTGGGCTGATCACCGATCTTGAGGGTAGCTGTCATAGGGACGGTTGAGGAGCTAGCCCAGAGCATTCGAACAATAAGTCTAGTTGACGAAATCTTCGAGATCAACTTTTTCGCGAACGTTAATATCATCAAAGCCGTGCTTCCCATCATGCGAGAACGGAAGAACGGTCATCTCATTGTGATAACTGGCATCAGTAGGTTCTCTTTACGGCTCTTATCGACTTGCGCGTATTCTGACTATTAACAGCCGGTCATCTGGGCACGCCAGGCCTGGGAATGTACTGCTCTTCCCAATGGGCTATCGAAGGCTACTGTGATGTGAGTATTTCATAATGAATAGCGCCGTTAAATCTACTGAAATTTGCCCTATAGAGTCTCGCCTACGAAATCGCCCCCTTCAATGTCAAGATGTCATTAGTTCAAGCAAATATGGAGGTAAACGTGCTCACAAACCGCATCACATCCGTCCCTCCTATGCCGGAGTACCTTCAAGGCGAAAACCCTGCGCCTTTGGCTCGGGAAATCTTCTCGGGTCTCCTAGACAAGCTAGAACGCATCGAAAACCCTTCTGCTCACCCCCCTCACAACTTTGACGAGACGAAATCTCCTGGCGAAGACAGCAACATGTCCGAGGCTGGACAGGATGCAGAACCGACAATGGGCGATTTACTCAATTCCAATACAGTGACGAGCTTGTACGCGCCATTGCCCGCAGCAGTGAAAAGCAGTTTGATCGCAGAAACAGTGCACGCACTGACTGCGATCGGGGGTCATGACAACCCTCCTGCGCGCCATATAGTAGGCATCGAGGGAGTTACAGCTGTCAAGGAGAAGCTCAAGACCACAAGTGAAGAGTTGGAAGACTTTGTTCAAGTTAGTGGCGCGGTGGATATTGGGCATCGAGACCATGAGGGGACTGGAATGTCTATGGACCAAGGCATGTTATGAATGGTTGGCGTTACTGATTGTTGGTTAGACGGTATTGGACGGTTCACGTTTGTGACAAACACCGGCGGTATTTCGCTGTAGCACATCTGCGCGTCGCTTTGCGTTTGTTGTATCACTCTGTATTAAACTACATACTTTGTACGGTAGCATATTCAATCCTGTTATTATATGATCAGAGAAGTCAAGTCGTTGTACCTGCCATCCATCAACGTGGCAGCTCCATTGGGTTGCTCTCTCAGCTCATCACCACCATCGGCTATGGGGCTATCTTCGCGGGTGCATTTTTCCTGCGTATCCTCCGAAACAACGACCTCCACCCTAAATAGCCCTTTCCTTCTTCCTTCTCCATCCCGTCTACGAGATGCTCCCTCGCATCCACGTACCACACTCGCCAGACAACCACGACTATAAAAGTCAAGGGAACTGCAATGACTGGAGACGAATTAGATCAGCATCGCTTGAGGAATCATTCATTTGTTTGTACTTACCCCACATGAGCCAAAAGTCTTGCGACACTGTAATATGGTGAGGGTACTCTTCCTGCAGTTGCATGAACTGACTGCCAAATATAGATGCGACTGTACCCAGAGGCATGAAGAGAAGCGTCGTAACAGCAATCGTCTTCATGCTCTGGTTTTCAGACTGCATTACTTTACTGTCACCCTGTGTGACCACATTGAAAGACAGCTGGATGATGTTGGAGATGCGTGCGTCAAGACTCGTAAGCCGCCGCTGTGTAGACTCAAAAAGCGTCTTGCGGTAGTCCAATGCCTGGCGGGTGAACTTTTGGTGGAAGTTGGGTTTTTTACCGGACACACTCTCATGGTGATCATAGAGGCCTTGGAGGGTAGCCAGGGCTGCCTCACAGTTCTCGCGCAAGTAGATTGTATGCTTCGCGAGATTGTGAAGGCCGGTAAAATGTTCCTTGAGCAAGTCCTTTGTTGCTCTCCCAGGATTTCTCGCCATTTCCAGTGCTTCCTGATGACGTGTTAGCAGCCATCTTGACGCCATAGAAGGTGACATACTGTCTCCATTTTCCCGAAAATATCTCCTAGGTTCCACCCTGTCCAGTCCAGGACTTTGTACATTTCTTCGAATGCTACCTCCAGCAGGGCATATGGATCTCGGATCAGATCCTCACACTTTGCCATGTCTATCAAGGCACGAAAGCGGCTCTGAAACGAAGCTGGAACCCCAAAACAAAACAATTCGACCACAGGCGAAGCTGTGGTTGGTGATAAGGTGCCATCGCTACCTGAGCTGGATGTACGCGCAGCCTTTGGAGTTGTGGCGTTCTGCTCTCGGATTTTGAGTACGAACCCCGGTTTTATCCAGGAGAAATTTGCCTGAGCTTGACTTTGGGCTTTCTGACGCATCCCTAGTCCGCTAGTGTCTTCTTCTTCACCGCTGAGATGGACAATCTTTTTGTCGACTATTGCGAGAGTTTTGCACAAGAAATGGAACCACACAAACGTTGTTCCGTCGACATCTTCACGAGCCGCGAACGACTGTGAGACACCTTGCAGACCCTCGTCGACAAACGCGCTTGGGATTCCCCATTCTTCAAGAAACTCAAGCAGATTTTCACCGTAGTTCCCAGTGGGGTTATCTGGGGGTGCGAATCTATTTCAGTCAGTTGCTGTCGGGAATCCTGCTATGTACAATACTCACATTACCCGGACGGCCCCTTTGCTCTGCGCTTCGAGCGCTTCGATAGACTGGATACCACCGAGCTCCTTACCCTGGACAGCTGAGTCTAGCCATTCAAAGACATGCAGATTTACGACTCCATAAGACTTTTCTTTCCTGGATTCCGCACTGTTTCGCGACTTGGTTCTGAACTCATGAAAAGGTCTGCGGTCTGCAGTCAAGCTCCGAAACGATGCCATCTTTTACTGCTTGCACAGGGGGCTGAACGCACCCGACTAATAAGTAATAACATCATTGTACGAAGACTTCTAGGCGGAGATAGTACTTGTGAGCTGACCGGTTAGTCACACTTTACTCGTGGCTCTAACCGTGGCACAACTGGAAACGACACTATGCAGAGCCCCTGCAGCCATCGCTTGCAGCAAGCCCCCTCCCACCTGCAGGCGACCTCTTGGGGGCCAAAAACACAATGCAAAATTCATCCAGGAGCTCAACGGAAAAGCAATAGCATGTCCTGACCTTTCAGAAGATAGTAATGCTAGCGCGAAACAAAATTGGTGGCGTCAGGCTGAGATTGCCAAGGATTCAGCTGGCAGTGACCTCGCCAATCTTTGCCCAAAAGGGCAGTGCACACGAGAACACGCATCACGCGGATTGGTAGAGTGCAGCACGGTAGCCTCTTTTTTGAATACAGCCCTGGTGTCTGGGCTAACAGTGTCTGCCTCGTTGCTTAAAGCTGTCTTGGCACGGCATGATATGATAACCAACGTCCGGTAAGTAACAAGTCCGCTGGTCAGTAAGTAAAGGGTACGGTACCCACACACACCTACGCTTTGTGTTTAGCGGAGCACAGGAACTGGCAACATTGTGCAAGAGGGTAAATTCTGCGAGCCTATAAATGTAACATCTAGCTTTCTCCGAACTACTGACATGTGTATGCTGAAGCTATACACGTGTCTGGGTGGGAAAGGCCAAGAAGAGTGCGCCATCTTGCAAAGTTTCGCCATCCCTGGAAACTTTCAGGCGGAGAAGATAGTGTGGTCTGGCATTGCTCATAGACGTAGTACAGAAAATTCGTTCACACAAACTACTTTCAGCCTTGTCTGGCAAGTTCCGGTCTTTGTCGATTATGCATTAACGCCATCACACACTTCGCCAGGAATGGGGCGATGGGGCCGCCAACGCAGCCAATCATTCAGGATAATGTCAAGCTGAACCCCAAATGTGGCATACACCCACTAAAATTAGGGTCATGTGTAACTTGGCCCCATCAAACCGATCAGGATGGCTCTAGATCCCAAGTCTCAAAGTTGATAAGATCGCTTGCGTTCGCGCCTCGCCAGTGACTCGAGCAAGCTGGCAGAGACTACCGTCCATTTCAATTAGGCGCTATAATTGAATGGTATAATAGCCCTGAATTACCTTCACCCCTTTTCACAAGCCGCTTACACTAGGCAGGACTACTCTGCTAATCTCTCTGGCCGACACGGTGGAGGAGTCGATCCTGAAACTGGTGCCTTTGTCCACGTACAATCATACCAGCAATCTTATTACCCTGTTCGTATAATCTAAATTCTTATACCGAGCACTTGCTAATCTGATTGATTTGGATAGAATCAATCGAGTCACTGTGGTGGAGGCAGCTACGATCCAAATAAGCCCGCTGTCACCATCTCTGCTGTGCCACTGGTATATAATCAACCACCACCTCGCCCCCAACCAACATTCGCATCTCAAGTGAGTTTGAGGTGTAACTTTTTCTATTCACAGCTGACGTGAATCTGAAAAGGCGTCTACTGTGTATGATTCACAACAGTATCAACACTTTCAGCCACCACCACAACAATATCAACAACAACAACAACAACAATACCAAGTAGACTCCCGACCAGGTTTCATCACACAGCTGTGTAATTGCTTTCGGTAATTTTCAAAATGCATGACCAAAACGTCCAGGCTTCGGTATACGAGACGACATATGTCTCCAATACCCCAAACAACGGCCAGGCGCCAGATCCGGAGAAACAGCCAGGACAATCACTCATTCTGGTTCGTCAACCCTGACCTAAAGTCTACAGTTCCTAATGAGATATAGCCCCGTGGACCCTTGAGGCTCAAAGGGTATAGGTACATCTTCACCCCGTTTACCAATGCAAAGGCGGGATTTCCAAACTTCTACCGTAAGCCAGGTCTCGGATACCAAAAACTTGGTCATTACAGGCATCGAGATTGTTTGGATCGAGAATGGGAAGGCGACTATGATGATCGCTACATTTCCGCTTGGGACGGCAAAATTTCGAAGCTAGTTGTGCAAGCAGTTGACGACATTTACGAAAACAATACTGGGTCTACTTACAGGCGTACATTCATCCGCAATGTTGCGCCCATGTACATGCGCTTGGCCAACTGGCCATTTGACCACATCGATTATGCGGCGAACAATGGCCAGGTCTCAAATAGCGATCTCATGATGCTTGGCTTCAAGTGGTTTGCCGCGGCATGCTTCATCACTGTTTGCGTATGTTCTCTTGTCCACTGATCAGCAACATCGTTTTAATAAAACGGCAGATCTCTAGTCCCAGTCCCGCTGAGATTGCCGATCGCAATGGAGGCAACTACGACACTGTTCCTTACAAGTACTTTGGCTATCCCAAGGTCGCAAAGAACATGCTTGAGACGACCAACCCCAATGGCATCGTTCCGAGCCAGGCAAATCCCGTTGCTGAACGCATACTACAACCACGGTATCTTTGCTTCTTGCGTGATGGGAAGCCTGCAAAGATCACCAAGGTAGATGAATGGTAAGTCCTTGCTCATCAACTTTCAGGGCTACCATTAACTTGATTAGGATTGCGGAGCAAGGTGGAGCTCACAACCTTTCCTATGTATTTATTGCATACACGGCAGAGCAATTCAACACACCCGAAGACTTCAGAGTTTTACACGAAATGGCCGATGCAGCTGCGCGTAGAGCCGGAGTGATTGCATACTGGGTTGGCTGCTCCTGCATGCCTGACAACCAGCTACAAGAAGATGTACGTAAAAAGCACGATCAACGCTGAAGGAGCCTCACTGATTTTCATCCTCAGGTCTACCGTATTTGCGATGTAATCAGAGGAGCCCGATCCCTCGCCATTGCTGTTGGCCCTCCTTCAAACAACGCATACGAGATCAACACACCAGAACTCATGCTTCAGCAATGGGGCCGTAGAGTCTGGACTTTCCCAGAAGTCCTGCTAGCGCCTGCAGGAAGAGACATCAGCGTCTTTGTGCGTGGCAGCAATCTCGACCACCCCATCATGGTGCCCAAGAACCAGTTCGCGGTTCAAGTATGGCTGGATGATGCCCATGTCGCTCGACAGGTATGAGTGAAGACCTATCACCTCTCTTTGGTATCCTTTACTAACCAGACAAGCTCATCGATCATTACGAGGGCAACCTTATTCTGAGCCAACTAGAGCTCGTCACCCTTGCTCTCGAGTGCCTGCACAACAGAGACACGACACAATACCTCCCCGGAGACCACAGCTACGCACTAATGGGTCTTCTCCGCGTGCGCCCTCAAATCGACCCTACAGACTCTGCATTCCAAGCTTTTGCTCGGTACGTTCATCTCCCCCCCCCTCAAACACCTCTCTTATATTCCTTTTACTAACCCAAACAACCATAGTCTCTCCCTCGCAAATGGAAGCGAACAACTCCTAGAACGCCTCATTTGCGTCTTGCCAAAAACCCCAAACCAACCCTGGCACTCAATGGACGACGCCTATAACGCCAAACTCTGGGATATCCTTCCCCAAGATGTAGGTATTGCCGGCGTAGGCGAAGACGACAGCATCATCCTCGATGGATGCCGCGCCGCCAACATCCGCTGGAAGTCCTTCACACCCGTCGCATACGTTCGGCGCGAAGCGTGGAAGCGGTGGCTCGCAAAGAAAGCCCTGCGTCTCGGCGGCGTAGTCTTCCTCGTTGCCATTGCGCTCACCGCCGTGCCGTCCGTCCGCACAGCAGGTATCGTTCTCATCATCTACTCGCTCGTCCTCATGGGCCTCTCACCCTGGCTACTCCGCCTCCTTTATCTCGGCAAATTCTGGGACCAGCAGTGCTGGTTCTTTGGGTTCGAGGGGTATATGGATCTCGAGACGATTGAGCGCCAGATTTTTGGCGGCAGGCTGGGGCGCCTCAAGTGGAGTGTACGTATTTCTTCTCCTCTTCTTCGTCTTCTTCTTCTTCTCCTTCGATACACAGTAAAGGCAAATAAGCTAACATGAAAAAACAGGCAGCAGCAAGCCCCCTCTCCCGCCACTACCGCAACTCCAAAAACGAATGCACCCCCATCGACCCAACCTCTGACCCCGAAGTCGCCGCTCTAGTCCAAAAAGCCAAATCAGCAGGTCCAGGCGACCAACGCGTCTTCACCCTCGTAGACACCGGTTCGTCTCCCTCCTCCCTTCCCCTTCCCTCTCCTATCAAAAACTAACAAGTCCCCCCTAGGTAACATGACAGTAACCCTCTTTACCGCCGAACGGCCCCCTGTCTGCTTCCTCATGGCCGGCTCCGAAGGCGGCATGAAACGAATCATCGGCTGCTCGTACGACTGGACAACGGAAACCATGTACCGCGAGACTGTGCTTCGTATCGGCACGGAATTCGAAGATAAAATGTCGAGGGTGGGCAGAGTCAAGATTGGGTTTAAGAGGAAGCAGCAGCCGTTTGGGACGTTGGCGGAGGTCGGGGAGCCCGTGGGGAAGGAGGTTAAGTGAATGTATGTATGTTGGATGGGTTAATGAATGATGGAGGCGGGGGTGTGTGCCAGGGTTATGAATAATGTTTGTTTGGATTCCCCCCCTTCCCCCTTCTTATGGTTGTGAGTGGCTTTCTGGTTGGACGGATGGTTACGCTTTATATCAATGTTATGAATTTATGGTCTCTTGCAAAGTATGTAACATGTCAATATGTTCCCACTTATCGTGTGTATACGTTGCCACTTTAGATGTTCACACTGGCAGGAAAAGAGATTTCAGCGGTGAAAATACTAACAATGCTCCATGAATCAAGGGAGATACAAGATGCTAGAGATAAGTAATGACAAATCTATTGTATAAGAAACGTGAAATAGATACAATATTAGTACGACTTCTCAAGCAACCCCCCAAGGATACCACGTCCTAGCAACGCGAATGCATGCAACACGACCTCTCCACCACCTGCCTAAGCCACAGCAGTAACCTCTGTAGGA